TAAGTCTGGCTCTACTACTATTAACTATACCTCTCCAAGCCTGTTTTTTCAACTATAAAATGGGACTCCTTTCTCCTAAGATCATGAAGATTAAGGGAATTGTCACACATGAAATGGTTGGTACTGACAGGTGGCAGACATTCAAAAAATGCTATTTCCCGATTTGATTTCTTCAGGCCTAGCTCCAACCTAGAATTTACTCATGAAACTTTACTTAGAAATAAAATATATGGAGAAAAAGCACTTTGGTTTGCCACATTAAAATAAACTTGAAAGATTCAAATGTCTGCTTCTATAACTCCCTTAACAAATTTGTTTTATTCCCCTCATATGCTCTGACCTTTTCAGACTGATCTCTTCAGCTGTAATAGGAAACATCTGTTATGGTCATGAACAACCAACTTCACACAGATTGTTCTATGAACTACCAATAGTTTTATTTTTTATAATCCATTTTAAATCTCCTCTATAAAACTTACTTTTATAACTCCTGCTATTTTTAGTTTTTTGTTATATTCCTACATTCTACTATGAAAGAAGTATAGAGAAATTCTAATAATTCATGTGTGAAGTAAATTATTTTCCTAGTTTACACTGATTACATGGATAGTTCTAGAATAGACCAATTATCATATAACATTGGTTTCCAAGTCAATAATATACTACCTCTCATCAAGTTTTGAAATACTGGACTCAGGACTTGACTGTAATAATTGCATAAAAGCTATAGTTTAGTGATGTCATGTGAAACTATTCCCAAACTAATCTAGATTAGAAGGGCACTTTAACAGAAGCACATTTAACTTATATCCAAAGACTATAAGTGATGTCATGTGAAACTATTCCCAAACTAATCTAGATTAGAAGGGCACTTTAACAGAAGCACATTTAACTTATATCCAAAGACTATAACTACCATAAAAATAAGGGAAAAATAAGGAATGCTAAAATTGAAACTTAAAAAAATGATTTCACACATTTACTTAATTTGGAGGTGGGGGGAAGACCAGGTTAGACTACACACTAACAAGTCTGAAGGATCACTAAATATTCAAATATGATAAATTATATGTACCACTGTTTCCTAAAGTTCTGGTCCTATTTAAAATTTGGGTTTTACACCTGGGATCAACAAACACTTTTCACAAAGGGCCAGATAGTAAGTATTTTAGGCTTTTCAAGCTAATTACTATCTCTGCCACAGATTCACATTTGTTTTCCATAAAATCCTTAAAAATCTTTTTACAATTTCAAAACCACTCCTAACTCAGTCACAGCCAGATTTGCCCTTGATCATAGTTCCTCCACCCTTGCTCTACACTTTACATATTATCTTTTTGTTACTATGTTAATTCTACTGATAACCTCTTCCCTTCAAATATTTGCTCAAAAGTCACCTTCTCAATGAACACCTTAGCCATGCCCCAGTAATATGTAACATACTATGTAATATACAGCACCTAACATATTTTTATCACCTGATCATTGTCTTCTCTCCTCCATCACCCACATAAATTCCATGAAAGCAAATATTAACATGTTAAAAGGAAATAAAGGTTCAAAATCAAAGCAATTTCATACTGTCCCACAAAGTAAGGTTAGTTCTTATACATTAATTTTCTAGAAACTTATTACATTAGCTTATTTCAGTTGTCATTCCTAAACCCCTCTAAGACCAGTTCTGCCTCTTTGGTCTCACCTTTTTGTATTTCCTGCCCTCTCGACTCACTAATCTAGTCTGGCAACTTTAAAGTTTAACCAATAAGTAAAAAGTTAAGTACTTTGCCTCTTCTAGGGCTCCATCTCCACAAATTCTCTTTTTATCAATTAATTGTAATCTTTCCTAGTTTGTCTTTACCATTCAGCATAAAGCAAGCAAAAGATTCTATTGACTCTCAAAATGCTCAATGATTAGACAGACTTAAGACTTATTTTCAATTACTATGTAGTTTTAGTTTTTACCTGTAAAAGATTTGCCTCACTATAACACTGATACACACACACACACACACACCCCACTATTCAAATTGTGGCTACATTTCCAAACTTGTACCAAAACATAAAAACCCACCAGAGTAAAATATTTTCTCTTGCTATCACTGATAAATTGGTACTTGATAGCCATTAATAAATCACAGTACCAAATGTATTAATGTTAATGTGGCTTAAGTCATACTAAGATCACATTAAGACATTCTAAGATCAAAACTACAAAAATTTGTTACCAGAGGAAAAGTGTTTTTTTAAAACCTTTTATCCAACAAGTTACCCTTCATCTTAGTTTACTTTCTAAATAGCTAGTTTGCCTTTCTAATCAGATAAGCAAATTTAACTTCTAAAAGACAAACTTTTTAAACTCCACGTAAATTGTCAAAGGTTAAGATGACTCCATAAGGTCAATTCTTTATAGATATAATTCTGTACTCCTAAAATTGCTAAGGTTGTGATTTGGAAAAAAAAATAAAAATAAAAGAATAATGAAAACTGCCACAGAATCTTAAAATTTTTAAATTTTCAACTGCTTTTGTGTCCTAAATTATCATAAAACTAAATTAAGTTTGGTGGAACTACAAACAGGAAAAAAACTCCTTATACAGTCAGCACTAAAAAAACCAAACTGACTCTTTTGTTATTCTAAATGCTATAGGTGACTCCCAAATTAAGTCATTGTATATCATACATCTCTGGAGAATACCATGGCCCAAGACAGCACACATTCCACTTTATCTAGTTCAAGCGAGTAACATAACGTGAGAAACTGCACTGTGTAATTCCTTTATTTTCTGCATATTAGTGCTTTACCAACACTACAACCATGAAGAACACAATTCCAAGCACTGTACTTTTTAGTTTGGGGAGATCACAGTCTACAGACTCATTTACTTATATTAGACAAGATTAACCTCATTCAAAACTTACTGCAGTTTATAAATTCACATAAATACAGAAATTGATGCAATTAAACAAAAACTTCAGAATCTTATTTTTTTTTTAATTCTTAGATTATAATTTTTTCTGCAGGCTATAAGTAGCTGCCCCAGGATCACCAATATTATGGTTCAATTTAACTACATCAATTATCAAACTTTAATATCGTTAAAGATAATATAAACAAAGTTACAATTTCTTGCCAAAAGTTTAGGGTATTCCAAATTTCAAATATTTGCTTCTCCCTCCCCCACTTTTCAGTTAGACATTTCAAAAAAAAAAAAACTAAAAATAACATCTCACCTGCAACATTCAAAGCAATCACTTAATGTATAAAATTTTAACTATGCCCCCAGTTATTTTAAGACACACAAAAAATGGCTGTCTACCAATCTGTCACAAGTTAGAAATAATACATTTAATATGAGGGTTCAAGTTTCCTCCAGTTTAGGCATTTATACCTTTGTGCTTGTCTTATTTCAGGATGTTACTATAGCGTTGGTATTCTTATTAACCCACGTTTATGTACCTTAAAATGCAATTATTAAAACACTAAGAATTAAACTTGCAGTGGAGCTTTGGGAATTTTAAAAGCAACTAAATAAAATGTTCTCAGATAGTCTGTCAGCTTCATTTCTAGAGATAGTTCTACTAAAGAGAAACTGAGAATTTTATACTTCACATTTTGAATTCAAAAATCCCTCTGCACCAACAGGAGCCTACAACATAGCACCTTTTCTCATCTGCTGTAAATAAAATGCTTGTCAAGAGTTTTACTTTAATTTCTCATAGCCTTATTCTTTTCATATATCTTTGGTAAAAGCTCCATAATATGGCCAAAGCATGAAGGACCAATACTGTCCAACTATATACCATGATAGCCCGCTCAATTTTAAGTTTTCAGATACCCTCATAAACAAAACCCACTCCACCTTTTATTGTCTACTGCCTTTGCAGTCTGCTTTTCTGAAATTCCCTACACTTAATTCCTTGAGGATTTCTAAAACTAATCCTTAAGGCTACATAGAAACCAGATGCTGCTTCCCAAGTTCATCTTTCAAGCATTAACATTTGGTTCTAAGTATTACCATAGTGGTCTTAATAATCTAGTTACTGGCCCTCACCAGTTAAACAAGTTAGGACCTAGGTATCACCAGTGAGCACACTGCTTACCCTCGAAGTCAAGTGTACATTCATCGTCATCTGTAGGTTCCTTCTCTTCATCCTATTTCCCCTATTATTGTCATTCCTCAAGTCTACACATCATTCACATTCCCTTCTGTAAAGGAGATAGTATATTACTGAACCAACAGAGTAACTGCCTATTTGCATGAGCTAATTCTATAATCAAACAGAATTAAATACCTTTTTTATAAAACATCTTTTCCAGTGTTCTAATTAATGGAGATGTGGATTACTCGTCTATAAAAAAGAATCAGTTGCTGTAAAGTGAAAACAGGAATGTGTATTTTTCCAACTAAGCAAAAGGTGCTATAATTTGAATTAAATGCTTTATTAATGAACAGAGTAAACATTCTAATGATTTTTAAATGATTGGTCTTAGACAATTGAAAGATGGCAAAGGTAAATATTCCAGTTTTGCCCAAAAGTCACTTAAAATATCTACAAATATTTCATCTCTGTGTGGCATACACCATTATTGCTCTATTTTCTGTGGAGTCCATTTAAAGTTTAAAAAAAAGAGGGAAAACACAGCAAAGTTGCTAACTTTGCAGTGACCAAAAAAATCAGTGCCCTCCCATGATGGGTTACACTATTTTTATGCTGTGTAAGTTAACTATGTAATGGGGAACTTGGGTTTATCCCTACTCATGCATGATGTATGTTTCAGAACTTAATAGCTGACATTATCAAGAACTTCTTACATTACCTGTTTAACATACTGATGTGCAACTGGAACGTTATTACAGTATTACCCATTATTTGCCAAGTATTGGCTAAGTTTAACATACTGGTCTTAGATATAAAAGGTCACATTTGAAATGACTGATTTAAAGTTAGAACTCATAAAGGAGGGGGGAAAGGCCTTAAATATAAAAGACAAACGGCAGTTTGATTAAGCAATAATTTTCAGTTTACTAGATGAGAAAGACTTGCAACATAGTCTGCATGAATGCAAAATAAGCCATCTACAGCAAGTGATAAGTGGGCAAAAAAGAAAAAAAGCATACATTGGAAAAAGATTTCTCTGGAAATGAAAAAAATCAAACCATTATTATAAAGGACTTTCCGAATAACTGCTGTATTTTTCCCATCCCATTTGCTGGCGTCAACAAGAGCATCTAGTACTTTCTGTTCGTGTCAAAGGTCATATCTGAACATCTTAACGAAACGGAGAAAAAGGAAAATAAAGAAAACCCCGAGCCCCCGCCCCCTCGAACATAGAACAGTAACGCCAGAGTTCAAATTCAAAAGAAAAAAAAAGTAGCCATTGAAAGAGGTGATGGTGGCGATAATCCTATGAATGGGTTTTTGATTTCTCTCCTTCCTGGGGATGGGTGGAGAATGCTCATTAGGATTTGTAGTTAGAGGTTAACCATGTGAGCCCCTCATAGAGTCCGTCCCCTGAGGTGGCACAGGAGGGCTGCACATACCAGTTCCTGTCCCGAATCCGGGTCAGGCCCAGTTTCTCCTGGATCTCGTGGGGTTTCATGGCATCAGGCAGGTCCTGCTTGTTGGCGAAGATGAGGATTATGGCGTCCCTCATCTCCCGGTCATTGATAATGCGGTGCAGCTCCTGGCGGGCCTCGTCGATGCGGTCGCGGTCGGCGCAGTCCACCACGAAGATCAGACCCTGGGTCCCCGTGTAGTAATGCCGCCAGAGCGGCCGGATTTTGTCCTGGCCGCCCACATCCCACACGTTGAATTTGACGTTTTTGTAAGTCACCGTCTCCACGTTGAAACCCACGGTGGGGATGGTGGTCACCGACTGGCCCAGCTTCAACTTGTACAGGATTGTCGTCTTGCCGGCCGCGTCCAGGCCCAACATGAGGATCCGCATTTCCTTGTTCCCGAAGATCTTGGATAGCACCTTCCCCATCGCGTCGGAGGAGCCGGGGCCGGGGGCATTCAGGTGTCCCGGGTCCCCTCAAGCCCACCACGCCGCTGCCGTCGCCGCCGCCGCGAAACCGAAACGAAGCCTCCCGGCCGCGAGGGCGCCCGTGCGGCCTGCGTGGGAGGTGCCTCCTAGGGGCAGAGGCCCAGACGGCCGCTCACTCGGGCATCACCAACCTCAAAACTTGAGCTCTCCGGTCGCCGCCGCCGCCGGGGCCCTGAGTCTGCGCCGGGAGAGCCGCCGCCCTGCTGAGGCGCGGCTCGGCCCGGAACTGCCCTTCCCCCCGCAGGCGACGCGCGAGCGCCGCCGCGGCTCCCACTCCGCCTTCTCCTCGCTGCCTCCGCCGCGGAGACTGCGGCCCTCCGGCCCGCGAGCACCAGGCTCACCAGCAACCCCGGCCGCCGAGAGGGAGCGCGGCTCCGGCACCGCGTCGGGTCATTGATCCTCGCGGGAACTCGCCGCGCCGCCTGTGGAGACACAGAGGGGGAAAGGGAGTTACTGCCGGGGTCCGGAGGGCCGCGGAGGCCGCGCTGGCCCGCCTTCCTGGCTCGGCGCGAGAAGTTACCTCCAGCCGCCGCCCCGAGCGCGGGCTTCCTCCGGCCTCCACCTCCTCCCAGCTCTGCTGCAGCCGCCGCCGGAAAAGGCGCCGAAGAAACCGCCTCACTTCCCCTCCCGAGCGCGCAGGCGCAACAGAAACCGACCGTTCGCACTAGAGCGACCTCTGGGAGGAGAGCGGCCCGCGCGCCTGCCGTCAGGGGCGCCACGCTGGGGGGCGGGGCTACGGCGGCCCGCAGGGCTCGCAGGTGCCGCCGCCCCCTGCCCCGCGATTCTGAGGTCCTGCCTCGCGCCCACCTGTCGCTGTTCTAGCGTCTTCTTCCTCTGTGTTCCGCTTCCGCTCCTTCTCTTCAGCCCCCACACGAGCCAGAAGAGGACGGGGCCCACGACGAACGCCTCCCTCAGGCTGCGTCCCGGCGCGTTCCCGGAACGCGGTGCCCGCGCGAGAGTCCGCGGGCCACCCCCATCCTGCCCCGGCCCTGGCGCCCTCGGCCGCCCCGGGAGGCCTCCCGCCGCCTTCCCTTTCCCGCCCCTCTGTGACTTCCCCGATTCCGCCTGTTCTGTGCGCTTCCTGGAGGACACGTGGGAGGCCAGAGTTTTATGCAGAGTCTGCCAGTCACTGTGGAACCTCCTTTCCCCTAACAGCGCTTCTACGAGGTCTGGGTTTGCTGCGAAGCCCTTTTGCGCTTGAGCTCCAGCTCTGCAGCTCGTCAGGACCGGCCCACGTTTCTTAAGAATTAGTAGTGACTAGGTTTCCTCGCCTGGATGCGCTTTCAACTTTTTAGAAGGCCATAGCTTTTCATGTTTAAATACCACCTTTTAGTTTGATTAGAAACTAGTTTTCACCCACCCACCCATTAAAAAAAAAACTTGGCCGGTTTGATATTAACATAAGATTTAGATTCAGAAAGGCCGTTTCCGTGGCCTGGGGGAGACATTTAGCCTTGAGGAGTTTGGTTTGCTGTGTAAATGGAGTGTTAGAGACCTTGGTCTCACATCCCTAACGATTAAATAATGTAGACGACTTTAGGGCACCTTTTTGTGTTCAAACGGTTCGTCACATAAGGTGAAACTAAAGAAAAGGAAAAAACAAGAAATGGGTTTTTAGAAAGGAACATGCTGTAACAACATATGATAACACAGGTTTTATTTCACAATTTAAGAACATTTGATGACAGGTAAGTTTTTAAGTGTCAACCTGAAACAGATTTACTAAAGGTATAAATATTCTAATACTGATCTAATTTACCTTCTCTCTGCCTTATTATACACTCATAAAACTGAGGATTTGGAGTCAGTAAATTGAGGTCCACTGTGTCTTTCCTCCGTTTTGTAGATTTGAATCCTTACGTCTCAACCTTTGTAATCTTCATATTTTTACCTGTAAAATCAAATGGAGAATGATATCACTAATGAAAATAGTCACCATTTATTGTTTGTTATGCAAACATTACTAAACACTTCAAATATTTTAATCTGCATACTAACTATATGAGGTAGCTTTGGGTATTAATATTTTACATATGAGGAAATGGGGGTCTGATAGGTTAAGTAATTTTTAAATGTCGCAGAGATGAGATTAAATCATAAATGTACAGTTCATTCTCTTAACCCCAAAATTATGCTGTCTCCCTGACTACCTCTCAGTTATTTTGAAGCTCAATTACAGTATTTTCTTTTAAATGCCATGTAACTAATAATGTGCCATAGTAATTATTCTGTTTTGTTTGAGGAACTTTTATATATGTGGCAAATAGAGGCAAATTGTTACATTTTTTCCATTTCAAAATGATAGTTTTCTCATTGCATTTTCCAGTTTTTCTAAGTAAGTGGGAGATAGATCTGCTGAACTTGAATTAAATTTTTAATGGGAGGCATATAATGAAACACAAGCAACTCGAAGCACTGGCATGTACCTGGAACTGGAACTATGCCGGGGCTCAACAGTTTATTTTTGAAAGTCATCTTCCATTTATATTCCACAGGAAGGCAAGCTTCATGAGACAGGCGCTTTGTTTTGTCAACAAAGGTGTCAGATATCAAGAGTTCAGTCATTTACTTGAATGAATGAGTACCTTTTATACCACAGATAATACAAAACAAAAAATGTACATACTATAACTGGGGATTTGAAATAATAACTTAATCCGCAAGCTCTTTATACAATGACATATCTTAGAGTATTGGATGTCTAGAGTGGCTCATAATGCAATGAATTTTACAATAAATTATTTTAAATAAAAATAAGAAAATAATTGCCAGAAACTAAAAATATTGAGAAAAATTTGTACAAATATTGGAAATTAAAAAAATGAATTTCAATAAAACCAAAATATCAGCAAAAGATAATTTAGGCAACTACTAAATCTTATTTCACTGAGGAAGGAAACACCTGGTTTTCTTAATACCTTTTGAAACAATTCAAATAGCAAATTTCTATTTAAAAAATATTTTAGTGAAATATTTTCAGGTAAACTAAAATTTGCTTTTATGAAATATATTACTAAGTTTGCACTCATTTAGACATAAGTGAAAGTTCCAAAAACTATAGAAAAATTGATCTCTGTTTTTTAACTTAAAGCTGCAAATAGATTTTTTTCTAGCTTATTTACAAACCAAGTTCCCTTTTAGAAAACATTCCATAATTTTTAATCTGGTGAACAACTACATGTGATATTCCTAATTTAAAAAGATTTACTTATTTTTAAAAAGGCTTAACTTTTTTGCTTTTAAAATGAACATCTTTAATAATTACGTTGTTTATTCTTATTTCTTGAATTTCTATAGTTCTTAAAATTCATTCATTCTGTATAGCTCTATCAAATATTTCTTTTTATCCATGCAGGGTCAATGACAATTCTGACCACATACCTGTTTGAGAAAGAAGAGTTCATCCCATTAATGGCTTCATTTTGAGTCCTTGGTCAAAACTTACCAGAATTGAGGAAATAGAGGCAAGTGTTGTATTTTCTTCAAGAAGTTTAACAAAGGCATAGAGTCCCTGGAAATATAGAATAAATATGGAGCTATAATATCTTTAGAAAAAATTACTACTCCTTTCAAACTGAAACTAATTTAGACAGGAGAATTTGTTCTACTTACATGAAACCGCTAAGAGAGGTTTCACATCCTTTTCATCTTTGTGCCGTAGTCCCTTGTATAATGTCTAGTATGCAGTAAAATGAAGTTTCACTATTTTTTTTTGTTAATACAGGAAAGATTAAGACTCAAAAATAAAACAGAAACAATCCAGTGAAAACAAGTCATTTTCATTTGTAAGTATTTTTGGTAACTTTGAGCAATGTAAATATTTAAAGGGACACTATGGGCTGAGGAGCCTCTCTGTGGATCTTCCTCTTTAACCATTAAAAGTAAAGGTAATATCCCAGCCACAACCTTGATAATTAGTTATAGCTGAGTATGAAGACATCATCTCATTTTTAGCAATATTGAAAGTGGGAATAGTAGAAGTAAAAACAAGTTTATATTGATATTTTAGCAAATTGTTTAATAGTTATGGCTTCGGATAGTAAAGATAAACATCGAGGCAACATGGTCTAGTGGCATAAGTGAATGGAAAAAGGGTAAATTTACTCTCTTGAATTCCTCTCAAGACTTCTTGACTTAGGTTTAACTTGGTAGGTCATTCATCCTCACTGATCATCAACTTCTTTATTACTGCCACAAGGAAATCACAATTAGGGAGTATATATCATTGCCCTTTACTATTGAAGGACCTGAGGCCCTGAAAGGATATGCAGCTTTCTTAGTCACCAAATGGTGCAAAGGAAATAAATGAAGAGTTTTTGATTAAGGGCTGGTGTCCTTTTCTCTATTGTATCAAATTATTGTGAGAAGAAGACTAGGCCAATGGTTTTCAGCATGACTGCACATTAAAATCACCTGGGTGTTTTTAAAGTGCAAAAATGTTTGGGCTTACACAGATCAATTGCATCAAACCATCTGAGGTAGAGTGTCTACCCACTAATACTTTTTTTAAAGCTCCTTGAATGAGCCTAACGTGTAGCCGAGATTGACAACCACGAAACTAATAGCTAACATCCTTTCTTCTTAAAAATTATGATTCTGAGCCCTATTCATTTTAATTCCTCAACCCCAAGATATATATAGAGACACAGTTTTTTACATAGTACAGTGCAATACTACTTTTATCATTGGTATAACCTACCAAGACAGTAGACCTGACTGACAATAGTATAAATATTTCTAAGATCCTTGCAAAAAATGTATTTTGAAAATAAACAGCTAGGGCCTCCCTGATGGTGCAAGGGGTTATGACCCAACCTATGAAGCAGTCTGCAGCTGCTGCAGCATGAGTTCGATCCCCGGCCAGGGAGCTACCCACATGGTGCAGCAGACCTTTCCTAACTCACTGGTTGCTCCCCTCAGCAGTGTATTTTAGTCGATCTGCCTGTTCTATTCCCCACTCTGTCTCTGGTGAACCCTCTTACCCCTCCACATCTCTGGCCTGTATCCCACTTCTTGTATGCATAAATAAATAAATCTTTAAAAAAAGAAAATATACAACTAAGTTTATTGATCATTAGTAGAACCAGCACTGTTAAGTGAATACAAAATAAGAATACTTGGCTATCATAGGATGATTAAACTCATAAGCACTAGAGTACCTTTGTCCATGAATACTTGCCATTTGACTGCCTAGAATGCATACACCCCTGATTAATCCCAAATTAGGTAGAAGGAAAGATGAAGGTGGGCAAATAGATATTCCTTCTCCTGTCTCCCTGTAGCTAGAATTTGGGTAAGTGAACTGGGGTCAACCGATTAACTAATCACTGTCCTAGTCCAAGCTTTGAATTTTGACAGTTCCTAGGACAAGTATTTAGGGTGATTGAGTCCAACATCATGGTAGCAAATATTTAGTAGAGAAGTTTCAGTGGTAACAAGTATGGCAGAAGCTCCAGTGGGTGTATTTAAAGCATACTGCTAGCATGCCTTTTCTCCCCTTGTCTCTACAGCCTTTCTGACAATCCTGTGGGTCTATTGATGCACTTCCAATAAAAGTTCTTTCTTCTCAAGTTAACCAGATTCACTTTTTATTGATTGCAAATAAGAGCCCTGAATGGTAACACAATTTAAAGAATGCAAAACAAAATCTTTTATCCACATTGTACATACTGGTTATCTATAATTTTTCCACTAGGCAGTTATTTGAAAATGAATTTAGACAAGTAGAATTCTAAAGCCATCACCCTTAAAATTTTGTTCTTTCCCATGGAAGTTTATGAATATAGTATTGTTTTTATATAAGCCATTTGAATCACTAAGATTCTTGGAATGAAAAACATTTCATATCCTTGAAATATCCATAACATTTCCCTGTGAAGAAGGAACATATAATCTCAGAAATTTCATTTTCAAAATCTGAAAAATACTTTTAGCTAGAGCAAGATTATTACTTTAAACCAATGAAGAATTTACAGTGTTAATGTTCTAAAAGAGTTTTGTTTTTTAGGAATACAGAAGCTAATTCATTCAGTCTACTTAATTGACTGAATATTCCAAACTTTGTAATTAAATAACACAACAGTGCAGGTGGTCTTGTTGTTCAACAGTTGTTGAACTCTGTGCTGTCATTTATGCAGATATGTTGTTTATTATACAGTAACATGCTGTATGACTGGGTGTAAATGGCATATTCTGTAGAAAAACATTCATAAGACACCAGACACCTGAGGGCTAAAAATCCTTGTTCTGTCTTTATAGTGGCTCTAGCTTTAAATTTTCTCATTTATAGATTTTGTCTTTATGTTGTTTTCCTTTGTTTCTGGTTTTCTTTGCAGCTGGGATTGAACCCTCGCTGCAGAGGCTGTGGGTGGTTTCACAGCACTGCGCTCAACCACTTGCCCCAGCAGGGAGGCCCCAGGTTTGCAATTGTTAATAGATTAAAAAACAAGTAAATTTTAATGTCATACAGTACCACTTCAAGAGAAAGAAAGAATGAATGAATTTAAAACGAATAAGGGGGCCTCCCTGGTGGTGCAAGGGGTTAAGATGCAACCTATGAAGCTATCCGCAGCCACTGCAGCACGAGTTTGATCCCTGGTTGGGGAGATACCCACGTGGCGCAGCAGATCTCTCCCGATTTGCCTGCTGCTCCCCTCACCAGTGTATTTCAATCATTCTGCCTGTTCTGTTCTCCACTCAGTCTCTAGTGAATCCTCTCACCCCCACACCTCTGGCCTGTACCCCAGTTCTTATATGCATAAATAAATAAATCTTTAAAAAAAAATGACTAATGAAGGAGAAAGGAAGCAAGAAAAGAAAGAAAGTAGAAGAAAAAGGAAGGAAGAATGAAAAGGAAAGAAATATACTGAAAAAATTCGACAATGTTGTAAACTGATACTCTGACCTACTCTAAAACCCAGCTTTGGGTTGGAAAGGAAAATTTCCTTAGAAAAGCATAATCATATGGGATTTCCTCCTTTATTGCCTTTTTTGGTTTTGCTTTATGCATACATAGTATTGTATCAAGAACAAACAATGGTGCACTTTTTTACTGTTCGGTACCTTAGATCAGTATACAATTGACTGTAGAAGGTCCTAGTCTATGATACTGTTATAAGCACAGTTACCAAGATTTATGAGTGTGGATGGTTGTAAAATCTTCAGTAAATGTTACACTATAACCAGTTTAATAACAACTTAGGTGGGCAAAATGTATGGGTTTGTTTCATTTCATATAAGAAAGATTTACGTTCCAGTGGGTTTAGAAAGACACTTACTGAGTTATATGTCCACAGATAATAATCAGTTAACATAAACCTGCTAAGCTAAAGACTGACTTTGTGTTACATTACAGTTTTATAAACCTAGGTCAATTGGTGCTGTGACCCACTGTGGTGAACTAAGACAACAGTTCCAAAGCCACTTCACTGTGGGAAGGAGGTCAGTTGCCCTGTGTACTGACTTCCCAAACTAACTAGATTAATGCCAGAAAAGGAAGGTTTCAAGGGCTTTTGAAAGTTTCTGATGTTTGACTTCATTTCTGAATGTAAAAATAGAAGTTTGATGCTTAATGTTATTCATGATATATAAGAAATACCAGATAATTTTGCTTATGTGAAACTGTCAAAGGAACTGACAAAACTAAACCAAAACAAATCCTAGAAATATGATTGCAGAATTGAGGCTAGTATAGGGGGAGAATTGAGGGAGAGGGAGCCAAAGCCAGGAGGGGGTCCAGTGGTGTATGATAAAGAGATAAAGAAAAAAAAAGAGATGGGTATTATGGTGGTGGGCGGGACTTGGTGATGTACATCTGAGAAGGTATGTAACTATTCCCCTGAATCATATACAGTACTATAAACCAATGTTACCTCAATAATAATAATTATAAAACTAATGTAATGAGTTCAATATCATTACAAAGTAATTATTACAAAGTAATAATTTGGTTATGCAAGATGGCTAACCTTGGACTATGTAACAATTTTGATTTGGATGTGTCTTTAACAGTATATCAAAGATTCTAGGAATAAAACAAGTAACCCAATGTCTTTGACACTTTTAGGATGTCTTTAGAAATGTCCACCCTTATCCTCAGGAATTCAGAAATAGACTCCGACAGTACTGGTTTTTCCATGTGACACCTCAGCAAAAACATCTCTGGCCAAAACAGCTGGACCACAGGTAGACTCAATGCCCTAATTGACTAGTCAGATTCGTATTCCTGGGAATTTTAAATCAGTCTGTCCCTTCCCAGTGGATCCATTTCCTACTAACTAGAGACTATGTCACAGCCGTATTCTGCATTGAGTACTGGGTGGTGGACAGAAGTTAGTTTTCAGGGAGAAAGAAAAAAAAAAAAAAAACAGATGTGTAGAAAAGAGCAGAGACAAAACAGAAATTATTCCCTGAGTTCCATTGAATAGTTCCAGGATTTTCCTGGAACTATGAAGGGTTGCCTATGAAGGGTTTCCTACCAACCCTTCAGTTTCATGGGAAACACTGTATCTTTATACAAAATTACTTTTTTTTTGTTGTTAAAGTTAGCTTCAGAAGGCTCTGTTACTTATAAATAAAAATTATGGTTTTATCAATCATATCCTTGTAAAGTAGTATGGAAGCAAAACAAAATGTTAACAAAGAAGGTGAATAATCAAAGTAGTAGACTTGAATGCTTCCTAGAGGATTGTAAACTATACAATATAATAATACCTAATATACAATAATTGCATACTACTATCATTGTTATATCATAAAATGACCCATTAGAATTACATGAGTAGGGGCCTCCCCGGTGGCGCAGCGGTTGAGCGCTGGGTTGCGAAGCTGCGCGCGGCCTCTGCGGCGCCGGTTCGATCCCCGGCTGCTCCCCGGCCACCGGAGGAGGGTCCCACATGGCGCGCAGACCTCTCCTGCCGCCCGCTGCTCCCCTCAGCAGTGTACTTCGGTCCTTCTGCCTGCTCTGCTCCCCGCTCTGGCTCTGGTGAATTCTCTCACCCTCCCGCGCTTCTGACTGTACCCAGTGCATGTATAAACAAAACAAACAAAGAAACCAGCAAAACAAATAAATAAAGCATGCCTCTATAAAAAAAAAAAAAAAAAAAAAGAATTACATGAGTAGAAGTAAGTTTTTGATAAATAATCCAATTTATAAAAAGTACCTCAGATTTGTAACTTGGTATTTTGACCTATCCCTGAATTACTTCATAGATCTCTTAGAATAATTTAACTCTTGTGTTAAAGCAATATTTTCTTAATGTGGGAAAAGAGACATAAGACTCACTGAGGAGGGCCTCCCTGGTGGCGCAGCGGTTGAGCGCTGGGTTGCGAAGCTGCCCGCAGCCTCTGCAACGCAGGTTTGATCCCCGACTGCTCCCCGGCCACTGGAGGAGGGTCCTGCATGGTGCGCAGACCTCTCCTGCTGCCGGCTGCTCCCCTCAGCAGTGTACTTCGGTCCTTCTGCCTGCTCTGCTCCCCGCTCTGGCTCTGGTGAATTCTCTCACCCTCCCGCACTTCTGACTGTACCCAGTGCTTGTATAAATAAATAAATAAATATATCTTTAAAAAAAAATCAGCAATTATATAGGAAAACTCAACAACATTAACCAAGACAATATAATCAACACTTACAAACCATTTCACCTAATAACACAGTACACACATGATTATCAAGTGCCAAAAACTGAAAATAGAACATATCCTGGGCCATAAAACAAATCTCAACAAATTTTAATTAATTGAAATAGTTTAGAGTATGTTCTCTAACTACAATGGAATCAAACTAGAAATTATTAACAAGAAAATTAACAGGAAAGTCTTAAAACATTTGGAAATTAAATTATACGCTTCTGGGCCTCCCTGGTGGCACAAAGGGTTAAGCACAGCACTGTGTAGCTATCTGCAGCCTCTGCAGCATGAGTTCAATCCCTGGCTGGCCAGGGAGCTGACCCATGTGGCGTTGCAGATTTCTCCTGTTTTGCCTGCTGCTCCCCTCAGTAGTGTATTTCAGTCAGTCTGCCTGTTCTGTTCTCTATTCATTTTATGGGAAACTAGTATTACCCAAATATTAAAACCAAACAATATAGTACAAAGAACTATAAACAAAGCTATAGAGATCAATATTTTTCATTTGTGTAAATAAAAAAATTAACAAATACAATTCAGCAATATATTTTTTTAAACCATGTACCATGACCAAGTGAAGTTTATTTCAGGGATACAAGTCTTTCAGTATTCTGAAGAATCGATATAATACATTGAATTAACAGTTTAAAGAAGAAAATTCACATGATCACATCTATCAATGCAGAAAAACATTTGACAAATTTCTGCACCTATTCATAGCATAAAACTTCAAGACTTACTACATAATTATAGTAATAAGACTGTGATTGTGATGGATAGATACAAATCAAAAGAACCCAATACAAAATGCAGAAACAGACTCATAAATATACCCAACTGATTTGTATGTATATACATCATATGCATGTGTATATTAATAGTGTACAATAATTCAGAAGCATTCATCATGTTCACAATTGTGCAACCATCACTACTACCTATTTCTAAAACTTTTCATGACCCCAAACAGAAATTTAATATCCATTAAACAATAACATTCCATTCTCTTCTCCTTCATTTCTATCTACTTTCTGTCTCCATGTATTTGCCTTTTCTATATTTCACAAAGGTGGAATCATCCAATATTTGTTTTTTTTTTTTTTGAGTCTGACTTATTTCATTTAACATAGTATTTTCAAGATGCATCCATGAATTAGGGCTCCATCATTGTACAGTTAGGGTAAAATGAGACAAATCTGGGAGACTGTGGGCACCTGGTTGGTGGGTCCTCACCCATGTGTTTATGACTGCAGAACTTGACTCAAAGCAGATACACATGGGGAGAAACAACAATATCAGGATTTATTTATATAGGGAGTGAGAAAAGGGAGAACTGAGAAAGAGAAATTATTGGCCTGCAGGTAGCCAGATGCTGTCTGCCCTACCCCAGATAGCACACACTGAGCAGATATTGGGGTCCAAAATGAAGCCACATGTGGCAAACTGACAGCTCCTCCACAGACATCCCGCCTCACCACTAGTTCAACGGTCAGCACCCCAGCAGCTTAACTGCTCAAAGCACCAGCTCTCCGCCTATTTCCATTGGCCCCCATCCCAGGAGGTCTGGGAGTAGTCTGGGAAGCTACCATCAAATTGGCCATAAGTGCTATCCCCTGGCTCTGAGCTTGCTGGCTCCTCGCTGTTCCACTTACAAGGAGGTTCAATAGAATAGGCACAGGTAACCTGTGTCTTTAGTATTCTCTACATAAGTAGGGCTATATTCAGGGTACACTAGCCCTAAAAGCAACCCCTAAGGAAATTGCATCTATTTGATTATAAATCATTACATGCAGAAACCATAGTGTAACAGGATATATTTTATATTATTAATCTTGGGAATTGTGATAACATAATGTACTAATAAAACATCCCCTAGCAAACACCCATGGTGCTACATACTCAACCATCATATCATAAAATCACGACAAAGAAATGTCCAAAAGTTGTGTAAATCACACACACAGAGAGCTTAAAATTTTGCCCTCTGAAGTAAAAGTGAAAGTAGGTTGCCATTTGAACCTCAGAAGGTCTCAGTGTTCTTCCACTGACTCATGTTAAGGGGAGGAGATCTAGGGGAAGATATTAGCCTCCTCAACACCTCCACATAGGGAAAGCCCTAGAATTTTTATATTAGTCATAGCTGGGGCCAGCAGTCAGACAAGATTAGACATTGTTCCAGTCACTCCAGCTTAGACAATTTTCCAGCTATCCCTCTCTTAAAAATGATGACCTTTCCTGACCAAGGTGATTAGACATACACCTATATATGTCTACTTGTGTCATGTGAAGCACTCCATTGTTTCTAGGTTTACACTTTTATTCTCGAAAGTAAACTTTACCCCCAATAACTAATAGTTAACACTTCTGACATTGTGGGTGCTCAATAATTATTTGTTGGTTGAGTAAGTGCATGATTTAAGTAGAGAATGTTATCATGAACCTGTATCCCCTTAGTAAAAGCTGTATGCAATGTATTTATTTATTTATTTTGCTGTATGCAATTTAAAGTATTCGTTTTCATACCAAAAGCCAGGCTCTAAATAAACTAACCTCCGTAAATAATTAGCCTTGAGAATAGTACTGGGAAAGCAAATCGAATTGCCATTATTCTGGGTGTTGTGTCCCCAAACAAAGGAAACACTCTTCAGGAGTTATCTGATGAAAGGGAAACAGTCTAATGCATTATAATACTGTTAAAACCAATAAATTAAATATGGGCAGAAAGCTTTTGCCACACTGGTGTGAAGAGATAGAATCAATAGCAGCGGTAAAGTCTTTTAAAAATCGGGATTTTAATTTATAAAATTTTGGTTTTAGGAGGTGATTGATTGTACGTCAGATCAGAATCAATGAAACAAATAGCCATGTTGTAATGGAGCTCTCTCAAGGGCTGAAACGTTGAAACACTTCTACCCAGCTATCGGGTGAAAGTCAAAGCCTATTCAATTCGAAGAAATAGCCCCTCAAGTTTAGTTTATATTTGTACTTCTAGCAGGCGACACTGGATAAGTCACTTTGCATACTGTTAGGGCTTATTCTGATATTTTAAAACCTGACACAGGAACTAAGTTTCTGGATCAATGAGATAATGTGTTAACCATATTAAAGACTCTTCCTCCACACAGAATACCGCCAAGAAGTAAACGTGTATTATGTCAGTGTTAATTACAGTTAACCCATTGTTCCTTTATTAAATGAAATAGAACACGGGTGAGCCCACAAGGGCACATCTCTGAAATGCAAATAACCTATGGGAAGGAAAATCCTGCTGGCAGCAGTAAGTGATCCCATCGCGGTGAGCAGCCGAGAACCTGCAGTCTGTTAGGGGTGGGGACCGTGGCCTTCGTGGGAGCACGCAGGAGAGCCCCGTAAAATCCCGGGCATCGAGGTCTCGGCGCGGACTTAGTCCGCCTCGCCCCCTGCCGGCCCCTTTCTCCTTCACTGCAGGTCGGGCCTCACCCTCCCCTGCTGGCCCCACCTCCTCCTCGCTGGTTCCCGGCGGCACTGCCGCCTACCTCTCTGCGGGTCCCGCCCTTCCTCCCCTGGTAGCCGCCCCCCACCCATCTCTGCCCTGATGACCCCGCCTCTCGCCGCCCCCACCTTTCGTGCTCACTCTGCCCAGGTGTCCCCATCTTCCCGGCGGTCTGCCTCTCGCCTCCTTGGTGGCTCCACCTTCCTCCGCGAGACCTGCCTCTCCGCCTTCCGCCTTGCTGCCGCGCCCCGGGGTCCTGTCTAGTCCTTTGGCCGCAAAGTGGGACAGCACTGGTGACTGGCAGTGGTCCCCAGCACCGGTCCTGTTCTCTTGTTGGTCTGTCACCGCTACGCCGTCTTTTCTTCAGCTGCACCGGGCCTCCTCCTCGGGTGTTCTGCTGTGTGGCCCGTGTCCTTTTCCAGAGCTCCTGCCCTGATGGCAGCTGAGACAGAAGGCTGGGGACTCAGCTTGCCACAAGCCTTCTTTCTGTATCGAGCAGAAAGCCTCTCCGTTTGATCCCATGCTCTTCCTCGTTTAAGGCCCCTCAGTACTAATTTATAAATGTCTTGTTCTGTAGATAGATGGAGATATCCAACGAGTCTGGAATGGTACATTAGTTATTGTAATGTTTGGTGCCTCAAAATTAACCGTTATTCAGATTATGTTTTGAAAAGAACAAAAAACTCATACAGCCAGCTATGACCGGTTTGCATTGTTTAAAAACAACCAACCTAGGTAACAGTGCTGAAGAGGATGTGGAGGAAAGGGAATTCCTTGTACCCATTTGGGAGAATGTAAACTGGTACAGCCACTATGGAATGTAATACGGAAGTTCCTCAAGAAATTAAAAATAGAACTATTATAGGATCCAGCAGTACCCTTCAGGATATACATCCAAAGAAAGGAAACCGTTATCTGGCAGAGACATCTGCTCTCGTGAACACTGCAGCATTAATCACAATAGCCACAGACAGAAACAACCTCGGTGTCAATGGATGGAGGAATCAAGGAAATGTAGTCTCTACAACGAAATATTACAGTTTTAAAGAAAGAAGGAAATCTTGTCATTTGCAACAACGCACATGAAATTTAAGGGCATTATGCTAAGTACATAAGCCAAAGAAGACAGTCTGCTTGGTAGTACCAATATGAGGAATCTTAAAAAAAAAAAAAAAAAAAGTTGAACTCATACGAATACTAGAAAAGTGATGCCAGCAGCTGGCAGTGGGAGATATAGGCAGAGATTGGTAAAATGGTACAAATGTTCAGCTCTAAGATGAATAAAGTCTGAGGATCTAATGTGTAATGTGACAATAATTCATAACACTGTATTGTATAACTGAAATTTGCAAAGAGAATAGAATTTAAATGTTCCCACAAAAAATATGTGAGGTGATGGATGTTAATGCAGTGGAGAAAATCCTTTCACAATGTATATCAAATCATTACTGTGTAAACTTTATATATCTTAAAATTGTATTTTTCAATTATATCTCAAACTTGTGGAGAAAAGTCACTGAACCAACAAAACAGAACACTGAGTCAAGCTTGTGCATAATTGACTTTGCACTGGATATTTTATACATATATTTTTATATTTATATAAAATTATGTATTTATATTATATATACTATATATAAAACATATAATATATAAAATGTATAGTAATGAAGTGGTAAATGTAATTGGCGATAATGAAATTTAAATCATGAATTATGATGTATAAATCAAGATTGTTTTCTGTCATTAGACGTCTAGTGGCAAATAAGAAAAACATAAAAGTTTATTTACAACATAATTATAATTAAAATGGACATGAATGTAGAGATTGTAGGAGGATACAGGACTAGAAAATCAGAATAGGAAGTTGAGGGAGATTTATTCCATTAGGGTGCCCTGGAGATCCCTGGAGGTGAATCCTGCCCTTTCTGAGTTCTAGTTATCCAGGGCTTCCATACTAGTTAGAATACAGAGTACACGGCAATAACAAAGAGATCCCCAAATATAAAGATTTAGATGAAATAGTTTATTTTTCATATAACAATACAGAGATGTAAGAGTGGTCCAGGCTGGCAGGGTGGCTGGCAGGTTGGCTCGGCTCCATTGAGTCATCCATGGACCCTGATTTCTTTCTGTTAGGGTTCTTTTCTGGCTTTATTGATAGGATGGAAGGAATTTAGAGAGAAACCCAATCAAAGATTCAAACAAGGAATGTTTATTGTGAATCACAATATAGGAGAGGGGCAGCAACTCCCCCACACCACACTCTTGACCTAAGAGTGGCAGGGTCTTGGTTTCATGGGGTTGAACACCAGGGCTGGGTAGCAGGGAAGCAGGGCTTTCAAAACAAACAAGCACCAGTTTAATTCCATACAGGCAGGTACATAACAAAGGAAGACCAAATTCTAGGGGCCTTCCTCTTGTTAACCCTAGACTATTTTTCTCATTTGTATGATAAATGCTGGGGCACAGTCATTTGCACAGCGCCATCTAGCTGTTGTGAAGAGCAAATGAACAGAAATGGAAGACAACTGATTTATTTTTAAGCAAGTGATGCAAAGGTTGCACATAGCACTTTTAATCATATTCTGTTGGTGGGCGCTTGATCACATTTGGTTGTAAGAGAAACTTGAAATGTAGTCTCTAACTGGGATTTCATGTACTGAACTAAAAATTTGTTAGTGCAGTAACAAATATTCCCTCCAATCCCTTCCAATCTATTCTTCCTTAATAGAAGTTCCTTTACTTCAGTTTAGAGATAATCGTTATGCCTTGCAAATGATGCCTCATTCATCAGGCCCCAGTTCAATAACCCCTCCTCAAGAAGACTTACCTGACTACTTTCTCTAAAGTAGATCCCCTCCACTTTCCCTGTCACCATTGTTTTTATCTCAGCACTTTTGTTTCCCTCATGGTACTTACTACAGTTGTAATTATAAATGATTTTCCTTATGTCTGTGTTTATCACATCCATGTGTTCTTTTCTTACCACATCATCTCCATCATCTAGCACACTGCTTGTCATTGTATAGGCAAGAAATGAATGTTTTAACTTAATGAAAGAGTGGTCAAGGATGACTCAGTTCTGAAGTGACCGATTAGATATAATGGTGAAGAGCAAGAATGTTGAGCAAATTTGGAGGAAGAGGTCAGAAGATGATCGGTTTTGCTTGCCGATTTGAATTTGATGTTTTGAATATTTTCAAAGCATCCTCCAGTAGGCACCTAAAAATATAGAATCTGGAGCTCCAGAAAGATAATCAGATTTGGGAGTCTTGCAAATTCATGCAATCCCTAGTGAAGAACATGGCAAGAAAACAAAAAGGTTTAGGAGAGAACTACAGGTACAACAACATTTATAGACTGGGTAGACGAGAGACCAGTAAAAGCTTATTTATGACAAATAAGGCAAAGAAGGGTTAAATGGCAGAGATAGGGCAGAACCTGTCAACAAGAATCGGGGAGAAGTAATTTTCAGGCAGAGAGTAGTGGTCATAAGTGGTATAGATTGGTGTTGGTTCGGATAAATTAAGCCATTGGTCTAAAAGGGCCTCTTAGATATGAGGCTTAGGTATGAAAGCCTTACTATATATAGTCCCAGTGGACCGGTAGGCGGACCGGTAGGCAGTAGACACAGATAGAAAGTAGGAAATGAATGCAGTAATTGTAGAACATATCTTCAAGAACCACACCATGAAAACAAGAGAGATTTCATTTGAAATGAGAGGCAAAGTCAAAGGAGCGTTTGTAAGAAAGCGCGAATCTGTAAGTTAGAAAGATAGGTTGGGTGTAGAAACGATTGATGAATTTTGATCTACTGAATTTGAGATAGGAAGGTACAACAGAGTTGCCTTTCCTAGATGTGAAAATTAATGCAGAGAAACAGGGAGTAACAAGGAGTTTGGATTCTTTTCTGATGGCCTTTAATTTATGAAGAAGGGAGCAAAGTTATCTGCATCAGGGGAGGCGTGGAGGGGGGAGTCTGGATTTGCTTCAAAAACAAAAAATGGATAGGAAAGATTGCGATGGGAACAAATAAAAGGTCTGCGGTTTGCAGATCTACTATGGTTGGCAATTCACTTTTCCTCCTTCCCCCCTTTATTCCTTCCTAACCTACACTTGTCCTCAAAAAAGACTTCAGACTGCCAAATCCCAATTTTTGCACCAATCTACCCAGATACTAGATTTTTTTTTTCCCACAACGATAATGGCCAACAGACAAGCGGGTGAGAAGAAAACAGCACTCCCCGAAAGTCCCTCGGTTCAAACAGCGACGTCTGCACAGCCTCCCGCACTTCTGCGGACCCCCAAATTCTCGTCCTATCGACCACACACCTCAGTGCACTGACCGCACTTCCCAAATGCTCGCTGCGGACAGTGGGAGATTAAGGTACAGACGCTTCCCTCGTCAATAACGTCCCCCCAAAAGGTGCAGCAGGTCTTAAGGCCTGCGGAGGCCATCCTCAGGTGACTGCATTTCCTTTTTGCCTACTAGCATTAAATTCACACTCACCAATTCCTGTTATACAAGAACACCGTTTTCGGAGCAAAATACCCGGAGCCGAGGCCGGACGCTCTCCGGAACTAATAAAGCAGCACAGCGAACCCGCCCGGAGGATTTCACAGTGACTCAGCCTCCAGACTAACGCGAGCCGGGCGTGCCTGTTCCCTTGACAACCCCAGCCGCGCCCTTCCCCGTGACGTCACCACACCCGTAGCCTCTAGTATCTCCTGGCAGCATCTGCGAGCGCCGGGCGTGGTGGCGCGCGCCTGTAGTCCCAGCTACTCGGGAGGCTGAGGCTGGAGGATCGCTTGAGCCCAGGAGTTCTGGGCTGCAGTGCGCTATGCCGATCGGGTGTCCGCACTAAGTTCGGCATCAATATGGTGACCTCCCGGGAGCGGGGGACCACCAGGTTGCCTAAGGAGGGGTGAACCGGCCCAGGTCGGAAACGGAGCAGGTCAAAACTCCCGTGCTGATCAGTAGTGGGATCGCGCCTGTGAATAGCCACTGCACTCCAGCCTGGGCAACATAGCGAGACCCCGTCTCTTTTGCTTATTAAACACCCTTTGAATTAAAGATTCCTGTGTTTTCCACTTAAGTTTGCCCTTTTTCATGTTCGTATTCTCAACCCTCAGGAGGCTACTAATGTCTCCTAGACCCACCCAAAAAATAATAATGTGGTCTTTATTACTGCTGCTGCCTTCCCACTATATGTTTGTCTATTTTACATTTATTTTACAGTTAAAACGAACCCGTTTTCACGCGGAGAGTTGTGCCTCACTACTGACCCCTACTGGCGAACCGTCGAAATGCCGCTGCAAAAAGGTGTTATTACCCTTGCGGCCAGCAGGGGATGCTCGTTCACCCACACGCTGGGGGAGAAAATGGCCGCCGGGCGACTGCGCAGAAAACCGAACTTCTGATTCCAGAATTCCCATGTTCTTCCCGCTGCTCTGGCTCCACCACTATTTTTCCCTGCACTGCCCATACTTTCTCTCCTCACCTCCTGCCACGGAATGTCAGCTTTTTTCACCTCTGTCCTGTCAAGTTTTTTGCTTTTAAATGTTGCAGAAGGAAGATCTGACTAACCACCTAATCCTTACAATATAGGCGTTTGCCGATAAGGCCGATAAGGGGGACCCTGTACCCCTTCCTTGTGGGGGAGGAGGGAGGAAAGACTCCAAGAGGCGCCCAAGATGCCCTTGAGACTGCAGAAGTGAGGGGCCAGCAAGAGAGAACGCGTCCCGTGTCTCTTGCCTTGATGGTCTGATTGCTGATAGTGAAGTTGCGCGGCGGCTCAGAACTTTGTAGAGCTGCAGTTGAAGTTTAGGGAGCTTAAAGCTCCCTTAAAGCGTCTTGAACCAAACATAGATGTGAAAAAGCCTCAGCGCTCTTCACTGAGTTATATTGAGCAAGTGCTGTATCTTTACCTCATTTTAAAAAGAAAAAAGTGAATAAAGTATAAAAGAAGGGAATATTTCAAGTTGTCAGAAGTTCTTGGTGATCTGTGATAGTAATTCCATCTTTATGAAAGAATTTAAAAAATTCCCTTTCAAATTCAAGCATGTCAGCGGCAGTGGAGAATGATCAAACTTTCACATCTGTCTTAACATTAATCTGATAATCTATTGTAACTGTAGAATATAAGCACTAAACAAATTTTCACTGCTTGTAAAATGAAGAGGGCACAATATATAAACTTTTCATAAAGCTGATTGTATTCATTTTTTTGGGGGGGGGAAGAATGCACCGAACATATTTGCATTTATTTTTAAAAGCAAATGACAAAGATCCAGTTTACCATCTTTTTAAACTACAGCTTAACATTAACTGTCAAAATCACCCCCACCCATACTTCTGCCATTTAACCCTTCTTTGCCTTGTCATAAATGTCCTGTTTTTAGCATTTAGCAACACCTCATATGCCTCAGCTACTTGTTTGAATTTTCTCTGCTTCCTTATTCACAGGAATTTGATCTGGATGCCACTTCACTGCCACTTTTCAATGTCTTTTGTGGACATGTCTCCTCAGGCCCACAGCTTCATAAAGATCTCAGGAAAGGTAACTATAATAGTGTTTATAATAGGTAATTATAACAGTGATATAATAGGTAATTATAATAGTCTTCTCTTGTTCTGAACAAAACCCACAGATGTTTTGTGCCTCCAAAACCCACATAGACTTTGTGCCTGTTTTGGTTGTAAGGGGGACTAGATGAAACAACTTATCTTTCACCTTAAAGGAGATATCTTGACATATCCCACACCTCTAAAAATTTCAGAGACAGACCTCTAAATTCTTGTCAGATTTATTTCCATTCTCTGACACACAAATGTCTTACCAGTAAGTCCAGAATATTTGCTAGTTCTTTGTTACCTAGATCCAATCAGCAGATACCATCAATGTAATGGACCAGTGTAATATCTTGTGGAAAAGAGGCAAGTAAGATCTCTCTGAACTAAATTATGATAGGGCTGATGAAGCGACATACCCCTGAATAGGACAGTTGAAGGTATATTGCTGGCCTTGGCAGCTGACAGCAGATGACTTCTGATGGTCTTTACTAACAGAGATGGACAAAAAGACATTGCCAGAGCATGTAGCTGCATAGCAGCCACTAGGGGGTGCATTAATTTGCTCAAGTAATGAAAACACATCTGGTACAGCAACTCTGATTAGAATTGTTACAGGGCAATCCCAATGTGTAAAGGATTGGCCTGACTGAGGGTCCTCACCCATGCGCTTAAAAGGGATTTATAATGAGACTTAACTGCAGGTACACACAAAAAGGGGTAATAAAGTGTTTTATATACCAAAAAGGGAAATGAAGAAATGAATAACTAAGGGAGAAAGAGAGAGATAAATTGGTGACTGCATCCTCCCAGTTCTGCTGAGCTAGAACCCCAATAGCACACTGAAAGCTGGTGAAAAATCAAGGAACCCCCAAGGCCCACATGTCTGATTATACACCAAGCCTGGCTGCTTAACTCTACTCTCAGTTCCCAGCAATCCTCCCTTCGGTGGTGATGACATGATGGGATTTGTAGTCCTTGCTGTCTTGGATCTCTTTGGTCTGGGGTGGGGGTGGGGTGGGGGTGGGGGTGGGGGTGGGGTTCATGAAACCTGTTCGTGAAGTGTGTTCAGGGCATCCTTTCCCCCAACAGAATCACCACTTGGTTAAATTTACAATAATCCACTGTCTTTTTCCAAGATACATCATTCTTTTGTAGAGGTCTCAGTCTTCTGCAGAGGCCAAGTAGACAACTTGCATCTGATGTGGGAATTACCATCACTGCATCTTTCAAGTTCTTGATGGCAGTTCTAATCACTGCAATCCCTCCAGGAATGCAGTTTTGATTTCAGTTTACTATTTCTCTCAGCAAAGGTAGTTTTAGCGGCTTCCACTTCACCTCTATAATAGTCCTCATGCCACAGGTCAGGAAACCTGTATCGATATTCTGTCTGTTGCTGAGTATGTCTTTCTCAATTATGCACTCCAAACACTGTAAAAATAAACACAGCATGGGGTTAGGGACCCAGAGGACCCACTGTGAGACAGATCTGAGCTGAAACTCCATTGTTTACCTGACATCTGTAGGTCACTACTTTGGTAGACTACAGTGACATTTTGGGATCTCCTAGAAGTAGTGTCACTTCAGAGCCAGTTCAGGCCCTAGAGGCCTCAGCATGTCCTTTCCCCCAAGGCACAATTACCCTGGTAAAAGGCCATAGGTCCCTTTTGGAGAAGACTAGAAGGAGGATTAACAGTGTAAATTTTTGGCAATATACTGAGGTCCTTCAAGGGGACCTTCAAAGTTTGCCTTTTGTTCAAGGGGCCTGGGTCTATAAACTGAATTGACTGAGAGGCTGTAACTGTTTTTATGTTTCAAGTTTGATTTTTGTTCACTTGAACTAGAAATCTTATGCTTATATATGTCAAGTAAGAATTTGGTAGACTTCCTGTCTGTTTCACTTTTATAATTAAATTCCCAACACCATAGGTCTCCAATGATCAGACTACTCTGTTGCTTTGTTGCTGCTGTCTGCTAGAGCAACCATTGCCTTTCATGATGGACTCTGCCTCTCCTGGATCCAATTACTTTCACTGCCTGTAAGTTTCCCAATTCAGTAATTCCCAGTGCAAGATTTTAGCTTATGGAGAAATGTGATCACTGAGATCTTCGCACTGAGAGGATTCTGGGACCCACTTACAGATGATTGTCTCACTGTTGTGGTGAAAGTGTGTTCTCTAGACCCTTCCAAGGTCAGTGAGGAGTTCTTAAATGATAAATGAACTTGACAGTGGAGATGCTTGTAACAACATTGTGAATATTTTAAGAGTTACCAAATTGTATACTTTAAAATGGTTAAGGTGGTAAATTTTGCTATGTTAAATTACCTCAATTAAACAAATAACTCAAAGAATATGCGTAAAACATCTCCATGAGTTGAGTGGTCAGTAAATTAATAAATTATATTTTAAGTAAAACTATATTGGTTCCTATTGGTCACCACTTTGAAGATCAGTGAATTTCCAGGTGTGGGCCACACGTCCCTTTCATCTTTGGCAGAAAAAAATGCAGGTGTCTTGAGACAAAGTTAATGACTGATTCAGAATCTGAGTATGGTGCCCAGAAATTTGCTTGAATTATCTCTATAGCAACTACTGAATGTATGCTGAATTTTTTTTTTTTAATTTTATAGAGGCATGTTTATTTATTTATGTATTTATTTATTTGCTTGTTTTGTTTATACATGCACTGGGTACAGTCAGAAGCGCGGGAGGGCGAGAGAATTCACCAGAGCCAGAGCGGGGAGCAGAGCAGGCAGAAGGAGCGAAGTACACTGCTGAGGGGAGCAGCGGGCGGCAGGAGAGGTCTGTCGCGCCATGTGGGACCCTCCTCCGGTGGCTGGGGAGCAGCCGGGGATCGAACCAGTGCCGCAGAGGCTGCGGGCAGGTCCGCAAACCAGCGCTCAACCGCTGCGCCACCGGGGAGGCCCTGTATGCTGAATTTTGAGACAGGTACCCTTAAATTACCCATCAGTAATTTCCCCTAAATTTTTAGTTAGGATAAATTTCAACAGTGCCTGTCTGTAGTTTAAAATACTTACAAATATCTTCCCTTTGAAAAATCCAAAGATGACTTGGTCATCTCCTTTTGCCAACTATCTTT